CTCATCAAAGTCATGGTTAGTAGGGGACTTAAAAGGAGAAATAGCTGCCTTGTAAGTGTGGTTCAGTATTAGTGGCCGTTTAAGCAGTTCTTTTTCCATTCAGCTTTTGACAAAAATAGCTGTAAAGGAGCATGTGAACCTCAGAGCATGCAGTCTATTTTTTGATACATCTTGGCTTACATTTGTCAGCTTTAGATTCTCTAGTACGGCACAGTTAGTCTGTGCAAAATGTAGAATACAAGAGATTTCTTGGGCCAAAAAATCCTTTGAGTTCATTCCTGAAAGGTGATGATTGCTTCAGTGATACGACATCACCTGCTCAAAGTACGTGGTTTGAATCAATAGCTCTTCACTGCTCATTGTATTCTGTCTGATTTACTATTAAGTTCATTCACTCAATTCTTCTGTTTGGGAGCTTATGCTAAGACTTTGTATGTACCTTATGCTTTTTCCCATCAATCAAGCATGCACCTCACATTTTTGGCTCCAATATAGGGAAGATGGTTAACTTGTTCAGATGGATCCAGTGAGCTTTTAAACCTCCTGTGAGACTTCTTCTCTTGCCAACCTTTTCTACAAAAACCACTAGCCTAGTTTCAATACGCTATCTTTGCATTGCCCCTGAAAACATTTTTCCACAACCTGCAGGCTGTGAATAATTCCCTAGTATATGCAGATTATTGACCTTATCTGGGAACATCAAAGAACTGTAGTCAGTGCACTGATTCTGTGTCTTTCTATCCAGTACCTACAATGCAAGGTTCCTTTCAGCAGCACATCAAGTGCTATCTGGGAATCTGATAAATATAATGTATTTGAACCGATTCCAGCTTCTGTGCCTAGCAATAATTTGGTCTTTTGTCTATGCCAACAAAAGGCAAAGGGAATCTTGCTTTTTTCAATTGGGCATTCAGTAAAGTATTCACATAGAGGGATTTGGCTTTTCTTCTTTGAGTGTGCTGCTGCTTTTCACCTACAAGTACTTTTGATGCATACATTTGAATATTGCAATGAGGAAAAGCCTGGATCGTCAGTGCTAGGAAGACAACATGCTATTTCCAGTGTCAAACTGTTGTACCTGGCTAGGCATAGCATGGCACAGCACTTAAAATGGACACTTGTATGGGAGGTAAATTACAGTGACAATGTAAATACAGTTCAGCATGCCTCACACTTGCCATGGAAGGAACATCTTGCAATGAAAAGATTGTGCTAGAAGAATTTTAGTGCGAGTTATTTAACTTTTTGTGATGTCTTCCTTAGGGCACTGACTTCAACAAAGTAAATTAATGTCTATAAAGTGGCTTCAGATCCTCTCAAGTATAATTATCAAATTGTGATTTTTAACTGAGCTATGATTTGAACCAGTGACACAAAAGCAAAAAAATTTCATTGTAATAACCGGACTCTTGTATATGCTGTTCTTACATTGTTTCCATGGGTCATTGTTTGTTACCTTTTTAGATACAATTCTTTGTGCTTCTTGTACATCTTAAAGCATGATTGAAAATTGTATCTATTCAGAGATGCACAGCTGGTTTAGTTACATTCACTACTTCCATTTCTTTGGCTCCTAATCCTTGAAGAGGATGTACGGATAGATACAAAATCTCTGCTTATGTTTGATACTCCTCTTTTTTTTTTAAATATGTATGTTGATCCTCCAGCATACTAACCGGTTTATAAAACCACAGGTTAGTAGTTCTCAAGCTATTGAACCTTCTTGCAGAGCTTGCGCGCAGGGAAATGATGTGTTTGTAAATCTTGCTTTATTACGGTTCCACAGACCAGCTGCTAACTGCTTATCTTTGTCTCGAGGACTTACAGTTTGGGAACCTCCTCCCTGAGGCCCTAGGTGCGAAACCTGGTTTCATCACTGGGGAAAAGAGAGGAAGAGGTTGTTTTGTTTGGTTCACTGTGGCTAGGGTTTGCTAACTTCTCAGAAACATACCAACCTCAGTTTTCTCTTTTCTCACCACTGAGCTGCTCAGTTTACAGTGGTTACTTTTACTCGTGATCCTTTTATGTTACTCTGTGTTAACACATGGGATCAAAGACCGAAAAAGAATACAGATCCTTTCAAAAAAGTCCCTGTGACAACTAGAATTTGCACAGTATCTTTGACTCGTGGCTCCAGCTACTTTTTCTTTTCTTTTCCCGAAAAAATAATAGTTTTTATAAAATACAAAATAACAGGAATCTGTGCTTGTTTAACTGGTACAGCTTGAACTGCAGTGTATGCAAGGATCAGGTCTCATTGCCCTACATGCAACGTGCCATTCCTGGTTTGTGTTCTAATTTATCATTCATACTCTGGTTGTGCTGTCTCCTAACTGACTTTGGTGCTGTTGGTTTGCTACCTCCTTGAGCTTTGTCTTGCTGACTTGAATTAGAACACAAAGCTGAATTTGAAGACAAACCTTCCCTCCTCGCCCCCTCCTCCAATTAGCATAGTAAAACCTAGTAAAAGGAATACAGTTTTTTTCCCATGGCCTGCTGTGCTCCGGTGCTTGTGCTGAGCACTTGGCTAAATCTTCAGTATGATAAAGTAAAATACATTGCACAAGGGGAAATAAATCTTGTTTTATAATGTGGGGTTTCAGACCAGTCCCGCTTTCTCTGGCTCATGAGAGGTTGCTGTACCAAGAGAATCATTTCCTTTTGTCATGTGCTGACTCCTCTTGAACTCCTCTGTCGCTGTGGTTCTGCAGACTGCTGCAGAATGACTCTTCTTGAATCATATTTGCATATCATTTCCTTTCATCACAGGCTGCTTGCTGGAAAATCAGCTCTCCTGTGTCTTGTATTGGTTGTTTGCTTTTACCCTCAAAGAAAGATGGTTTAGATTTGTTCCATGTCTGCTCTGACCTTGTGTTGATAATTTTTGTACTGCGTCTGTACAACATCTCCCTCTTTCTGGCTATGTCCTAAACTGTGTTTATATTTACAGTAGTTATCTAGCATTTAGCTGTAAGAGTGGCTTTTCCCTAGTCCTTTCTGAGACCAACATTAGCAACCAAGTTTGTTACCTTATCGTTGGAAAGTCCAGGCTCAAATTTTAATCTGATTTAGTTTACCTAAGTATGAACCTCACCTCAGACAGTTCACCAATCTGTTTTTCACATGTGCTTTATGATAGAGGAGGGGGTTTTTGCCTACCATTGACCCAAAAGAATTCAATAGAACAAACCTGGAATTTTTCTGCTTTGGCTCTTTCATTATGTATTAATTCTGTATTTTTATTTAGTATTAGAAAATATAAGTATGATTCCATTCACAGGGATCCTGCCAGAGTGTCTGTGCTCACTTTCTGTTGGATATAAAGTACACACTGTAAAGATAACAGAGTGTGTCTGTGTATACAGTTACGTTACTGCTGGGGGAGATGTCTGTATATATACTTGGTGGATGTAGTGCTGAGACCAGTAGTACAGGAGATACTGTTGGTTTGTTTACAATAGAAAGCTACTACTATTTTGATATGTCTGATTGATGTCATATTATAGAACACTTATAGCACTATAAAAGCACTTGATCTGCATGTACTCATTCTGATAATAAAAATACCATAAAATCTTACTATGAGTCATTTTATATGTATATAGCTTTGTCTATACTCCGCTTTTAAAAACACAACTTCTCAAAAAAAAACCCCACACAAATGAGTCATGTGATCATCAGTAAAATGTCAAAATACCTATTAGAATTTATAATGCATGGTCCGTGGATTAAATTACTTATAGCAGGCAATTATGCTTTATTTGAGATTCTGGATTAAATCTCAAAATGCCCAGAAAATTCCCTGCAGTATTAGCCCAACTCCAGATTCTCACTGTTCTCGCTAAAAGATCCTTCCTCTTTCCTATGAAGTTGAAGGAAGAATATCTTCTAGCTCAGTCTTTGGGACAAAAATCTCTTTTGAAGGGATCCTCGTTCCTCTGTATTCTTTAAATGCTAAAAATTGTAAGCAGAACAGCTTTAATCCGGAAGTGAACCAAGACTGCCTATATTCTGTTGTAGTTAAGAAAGAAAACTTGTATAAAAGTGGGCTCAACTGCCTCTCTTATTGCTCTTGTCAATGTGTTACTGCTCTGTTTTACAAATTAGAATGCCTATTTGGGTATTTTAGTGGAGGTTTTCTTGGTTTTGCTTATATCTTTCCCTTTAGAGAGCTCTACCCAGTTCCTGTCTTATCCATCATTGTTGGCTTGTACGTTCCATTAGCTGTAGTGCTCTGCTTGGAGGTGTATCTTACTGCTACCTAACAAAGCACTGGCAGTTGTTTATATAGGAGATTGGGTAATTCTTGCTAACGCAACACTCAGCAGGATTTCAGATAAGGTTCAGGCTCTCATATGGATATCAGAAATAAGCTTGGTTGTAATAAGTAACAAAAAAAAGAAAATCTTTCCTGTGTTAGGGCACATAACTATTGTGGAAACTGACAGGGACTAGGGAGCAGAAGCTTTCTCTAAGGTGCCTATGTTGTGTGAAGATTCTTGCTGTCCTGAGAACTCTAGTCCTGAGCCCCTGTTGAAGGCAAGATACTAGAAGTGGTGTACTCAAAGCTCTGAGTCTTTCCAAAAACTGATTGAGAAGTAGTATGAGTTAGCACTTCCCCAATAAAATCAAATAATGAAGGATGGTATAGAGGCAGTTTTCATTTTAAATCCATTATTACCCCTCAAGTCTACAGTATTTCATAATAGAAAGTAGATGGTCTCTTGGGAGGAGTAGTGTGGGAATTTGGGGAGAAGAAAGAAGGGTCTGGTTACAGTTTTGATGTGGGAGTCCTGTCATCTGCTATTGTTTTTTTGACTGTCTCATGGATTATTTGAGAAACTAAGTTATTTTCCCAATCTCTACTTGATAATATACTGCAAAAGGGCCCTTGTGACACCTTTTCTGAATACATGTTTTCTGAAATATTCATGTGAAAAAAATAGTGTAGTGTTTATCTTCAAGATTCATCCTCATGTGAGATACTTCTTTTCATGCAGATTAGAAGTGATACATCACAGATCCTGGACGAGACCATTCCGCTCGTTAAAGACAAGGTGATGGAAATGAACCACATCTATGCCAAAGTTGATAAATTAGAGGTTTGTTCATTGCATTAGAAAATTTACATCCTTCTTTTTATGTGTTTTATAGGTTAACTGTCCAGGTATTTAAATGGAGCACTCAGATGTTTATGGCTCTCTATTGTCTTATGTTTGTTTTTAAATCAGTATGTTTACCAATGGTTCAGCACATATAAGTGTTTATGGTTTTGGAACATCACTGAGTAATTTATTGCTGTGGATTCTACAATTCCTAATGGTAGATTAAAAGCATTAGTTTTGGTTTTGATGTTAACAATAATGCTAATGATTTTAATTTGTTTTGTGACTTGTAGGAGTATCTGTGAAACCACTTATAACTTTAAAAATTTAAGTCTCGCATCCAGTGCTGGACATACCCATTTTAAGCTGTTGATGGTTGTCCAATGTAGTAGTGGAGAGATTTCTGAGCTCCCATCTTCTGTTGTGTCTGTTTTGGTGTTTATTGTATCCTGAATGGGGGAAGCCAGTATGACTCACTAAGATGATGCCCTCACCATATTTAGTAAGCAGTATGTTAAAATTTGTGTCAACTGAGGGCAAGTTTGCCTCTGGGAGGAATATAATGAAAACATGATGAGGTAAATTGTGTAATGTTTAAAATCAGTTTTAACTGGCTCAAAGTGAAAGAAGAAACCAAGTGTTTGTGGCATTAAATCCAGATAGACAGTGCTTAAGCTTCAGGCTCTAACCCTGTACAAAGTGATATCCTCTGGTAAGGTTTATTACTCTGGGAGGGACAGGACAATTGACTTAGCTTTCAGCAATTTTTCTTTAAATGCAATTAATTTTTTGTAGTTTGCATTTTTTGCACCTACTTTGATAACAGACTTATCAAGCCACTTCATGTTTTATGGACTTACACAGCACCAGGAGAAAGCTTCAGACAGGAAACTGAGGCAAGGCATCTTAGAACAAAAGTGGGAGTCAACTGTTAACTTCTTTAGAACCTGTCTGATTTTCAGAACTGAGTACCGCAGTCCAAGAAATAGCTAGCGGGTTCTCAGCATACTTGACAATTTGGCCGTATTTGAATGTATACTTAAGCTAGGACTGTGAAAAATGGCTAATTGAATCAGGTTCCAAACTAACCGTCTCTGGAAGTGTCTCACCCATTTAAGTCTTTTGCAAATTCCATGCTTATAGGTGGTTGGGATTTTTTTGGGGGGAGGGGGGGTGGTGGTGGTTTTGTCTTTAAACAGGAAAATAAGATTTAAACTCTAAGCAATTGCTTGTGCCAAAAGTATGATAAGTAACAGGGCTCCTTATTATTTTTTTCCCTCTAATACAGGGAGAGGGGAAAAAAACCCTTTCCTGATCCCATTCCCTTAGAACAACTGTAGGGACATAGTAATTTGGAATATGAAGACAACACCAGTCTTTGCTAGGCTACAGGTTGCCCTTGAATAATGCAGCAGAATTTTGTTGAGGCTTTTTTTGGTTATCAAGGGAGGATAATACCTTGATTGGCTAGGAATCAGTTTTTCTCCCTAACATTACCAGCTGTAATGGCAGTAATCTGAGAGCACAAGATTAAATTGGCAATTTGAGCAGTAGTTAATGTTTTAATTAGAACTTTTAAATTTAAAGCTTAGCATCCATGGGGATTTTCAAGGGAGAAATTATCTTGTACTCCCAAGAGTAGAAAAGGAAGGGACTGTTTTGTAATGGTTATATAGGATGAGAATTTTGATGTTGCCATTGGTACATTTTTGGCAATTAATTTACCTGTTCAGCCTCACCTTCCCCATCCCTAAAATGGGCAGTGCTCAACTTCTCAAAAATGTGAAGCTTAATCATTAATAAAGAGTATCAAAACTCTTTACAAACTGTTCTGTATTTTAACAAATAAATACTGTGTTCTTTCTCGTTGGCTTTCCCTTTTGGCTCAAATTTCAACTGAAACTGAACACATGCATGTTTTAGGTCAATAATTCCTGCCCTTTTTTAGCTAAAATCACCTGTCATTATCTTTTCCTCTGCTGTCTCCTCCCTCCTACCACTTTGGCCACTTTCTCACTCCCACCATAAGTAGCAGTGTCTTTGCGGGTTCTGAAGAGCTTTTCACCTCACTGCTGAAATGTTGCTAGACCTTTAGACACTATGCAAGTGCTTACATACTCTGTATGCTGAAAAGGGAGCAAAACTCTGCCCTTAGGTAAGGAGAAAAATTAGCCTTAGGTCATGACGAGTGGTTCTTCTCATAGTAAGTAGACTACATCTGTAGTCTACTTATGAGCACGTGCCCCTTGGATGTTTATATTAGCAATAGTGCACTCTGAAATCTTGTTAAAGCTTTTTGTTTGACTTCTGATCTCTAGCTAGGATAATGTTGAAACCCAGCACAGGTGCTTTTAATTTTTATTAATTTTAAAAATTTAATTTTTATTATCTCCATAGGCATTTGTTAAAATGGTTGCACACCATGTTTCCTTCCTAGAAGAGCAAGTGCTTGAAGCAGAGAAGAGCCATGGCACCTTTCTTAATACTGTTTGCAAATTATTTCAGTGTGCAACTATCTCGTCATTTAAAAACGTGAGTATTTTTAAAGTTGCTTCCAGCAGATGGGAAAGTGATGTTAAATACCGTTTCTGTATCAGATGTGGCCTTACAGCATATTTAATCATTAATTTTAAGTGGTGTAGAAGAACTAGCTACAGTTTCCTTCTGTAAAAGGAATTTTTTTACATTTTTTTAAGATTTTCAATAATTTTCTTAAGAGTTGCTGCTTAGGCATTGAATAGGTCCAGCAGTAATTTTTGAAGATCTCTACATTTTGCTCCTGAATGAAAGGACTTTCTCTGTATATGTATATGCAAATAGGAAGCTTGTTATACATCATCTTGCAGTGAGAGACATAAGCGTAGATTGTTCTTTCTACTTAGTCTTTGGTTTTATGTCAATTATGTTGAAATTACTTTATAGGGTCATGCATGGATGAGCACTAGAGGGGGATGAGAACTCTTTCAGTGAGTTTTAGCGATATTTGCTGATAGAAGAAGAATGTTGAGAGTCAGGGATAATGAGATCCTATGTGGACTTGAGGAAGCTTTACGTACTCTTCATCCTTTCTGTCCCTGTTCGTTACCAATAGCGTCTTCGTACCATTTACCTTTACGCTCTGTTTTCCTTCTCTAAGCTCCCAGGTCATTCTCTAAATCTGTCGTTTCCCCAGCAATTCATCACAATCTCCAGTTAGCCTTTTCTGAACTCATCCCTTCCATTCCTCCCTCTCCATCTCGATGTGAATCTACCATGTTTTCAGTCTTAGCTTATCTCTGTCAGGATCCTTGTTCTAGTCTCAACTACCTCCCTGATTTCTTTTGTCCCTTCTGTATTTCCGCTGTTATGTTTTCTTCCTCATTTTCTTCCAAGGGGCTTCCGTGCCAGTATGCATAATACTGGGTAGGCAATAGTACACAGGTATCGGTGATCATGTATGTACAGCTGAACCATTTCAAATTTGTGTCTGGTGTCATAGCAACCTCTGGAAGCTTCAGCTGCAGTAAAAGTCCAGTTCAGTTTCTGCAGATCCAGGACAAACCTTAACTGCTTAAAGAGAATAATGAATATTCAGTCTGGTTAACAGAGGCGTGGACAGGAGATGGTGCATACTGATTTCATCTTCAGCTGTCAAACCACAGTTTATATAGACTCAGTAAAGAGTTATAACTTGGCCAAATTTGGTAATATTTTCATAGGAATGGGAAAATATGTGATATGAGGGCAGTTTACTGCCAATTTAAAATCTCTGCTGTAGCTTCTGAAGGCATTGGAGCTTTTCAAAAGAGCTAAACAACACATACTTTCCCTTAATTTCATTATCTGAATTGGCTTGATTTTGTTCCCTAAAACTTTCCAAACATGTTAAACCTACAGCAGATACTCAGTCTGGAAAATATATCAAAGCTGGAAGTTTTGCAAGGTTGGTCTGCCTATACAAATAATGTTGTATAACTGGGATGCCAGTAAGAATGTGGAAAAGGCCAGAATATTTATTCAGAAGCTGGCTTGAGTTGGGCTTGAAGACAGTATAGTGTTTTCAATTTTTTTTCCCTTATAATTACAAAGAAAAATTTTGAAATATTGCATAATTGTGTATTCATAGTTGCAGGCATCTTGGAATGATAATATTAGTGAACAAAAGAGAAAAATAAATAGGGAATGGTGTAGCTTCTTACTGTACTGGTCTTATTCCTCCTCCCATCCTTTCCCCCCAGAATAGTACATCTAGAAAGCATGGCGAGAGAGGTAACAAGGATGAGCACAGAAAAGGAAAAGTTCTCTCACAGGAATTTCTAAACAGACGAAGACTCAGCCTGAGGGAGGATAGGACAGGATAGAGATTCGTGAAGTCATTCTGTATGTGGAGCCCGTGAATAGAGAATGATTATTCACTCCCTCCCATAATTCAAGAAGTAGAGTCATCCAATGAAATTATCAGCAGGCAGGTTCACAATATAAAAAGGGAGGTACTTACTTTACATTATGTATTAATATGCCATAGAACTTACGTCCACACGATGTTACCTATCCTCAAAGCAATTAGACAAATTCATGGGGGGAAAAAAATCCAGCAATGGATATTAAACAAAATATCCGTCCTTCAGCCACAAATTCTTGAAGACTGGGAAGTAAGTTTGATTACCCTTTAAACCTTTCTCTAGGCAATCCCTTCAACTGCTCACCACTTAAGAGGGATTATTTGGCTGCATGGACTTTTGAATGATGCAGTACACATGCTTGTTAATAACTTTTACACTGTGGTTCTCACTGTAAATTCTAGCTCTGAATGACAATGCGCTGTGCTGGTAAGGGATTATTCACTTCTAATAGAAGTGTGCAGGAAAGGATTGAATTGTTTAAGGACATAAATGGAGTTTGAATTTCTACAGCAACTTTCCTTTTGGTTTGACTGTTGCCTGAAACCTAGTAAGATCCCTGCCAACTATCCAAGTTTCTGTACTCTCTCCAAATCTGTTCTTTCTAGTTGTCCATCCCTTTTCCCCTGTTATGTAGGATATCATTGCAGAGATGCCCCTTTGGTGTCTTTTGCCATTTGAAAATTAGGACTGTCCTGACCATTTTTGTAGGTGAGTTTAACTTGTTCTGAAATGATAGCATCCAACTCATGTATCCTCTCTCCATAGCCTTGATCAGACTGGGTAAAAAAGTTGGAGAGTTCCCCTCTCTCTGAGTAGAGTGTGTCTGTGTATATGTATTTCAGCTAAGTTTTTTCCTCTTCTAATTAAACATGCATGCTATTTTAAATGTAAGGGAAATCTTATTCTTGTTGTTTTGCAGTTATATTTCGAAATGCAGCAAAATCCTATAATGTTTATCTTTTTTATTTTTGGCTGTGTTTTTTGGGTATTCAGAAAGTTGTTTCATATAGACTTCCCATGCACAGTAACACTGGGAAAGGTGTCTAATCTGTGGGAGAAAAGTGAGTAATCAGAATTCACTTTTTGTGTTAGGAATATCCAGAGGTGGTCTGAAAAGAAACGACCTTATACTAAATATAAATTACAAACATGACTGGGTAAGTCTCACAGGTTATAAGAATATAACACCTCCTGAGGGAACAGAACAGAGGAAATAACTTTCTCTTGTGAAGTTTGCAGCTCTGTGGAAGGAAAGCTTTTCTTCTGTAAAGCTTGAACTTTATATGGGAGAAACTGTGATTTCACCAAAGATGTTATCTGTGCTCTGGCTGAATGGGGTTCAGCAATCTTAGAGAAAGGACAGGAAATCTGTTTTAGAAAACTTCAGCATGTGGAGTTTAAAAAAACCACTAGTATCTTTTCCAATGGAAGAAAACCTAATGTCAGCAACTCTTGCTGTTTTGTCATGCATCTTGTGATATCTGGTGTTTTCTTAAAGCCAGAAATTTTCTTTCAATCTCATTGGCTGAGAATCTTGACAAATATTTATTTTTAGAGTAATTTTTAACCCTTGTGTAGTTGCAGGGAAAGGCTTGTGAAATCATAACCTCCAAAAAATCTCATGCGAATGGTATGAAGAAAAAGGTGCATGTTTGTTAGATTTTTTTCAGAGGCTTTTTATTGTCTTTTTCTTTCTACTAATATTGTAATTTCTAGAACAGCAGCTGCTTATCTGAGGTGTCTTGTCTTGGCTAAGGCGCTGGCTAATGGTTTTTCCTGATACCTGGGGTAGATTCTGACAAATTGAGCTGGGAAATTGATAATGGGATATGAAGCATTCTGTGTGTTGCTTTATTAGTTCATCTGAGCTCAGAAATGAGCAAAAGTTATTGATGAGTTATACTGACTAAAGTATCTAGGAAAGAGACCTGTACTTAGCAGTTCTTTTCAGTTGGTACCAGTGTAAAGCGTGGAAGTGGACATAGACTGGCTGCTGTCTCCATCGATTGGTAGTAGATTCATTCTCTGAGAGAAGAAAGCTCAGAAGGACTAAGGAGCTATGTAGAGTTAAGGCTTTGCTTAATGTAGAAGCAGCTAGCTGGGTTTGAATTTTCATAAACAAATCATAACAAAAATAAATCATTGGAATAAGAAATCTTTCCTATATTGAGAGTTTGCATTTTTTTTAACTTTTGCAGATGTAACTTTATGTTACAGCTTCACTATTTGCTATATATTACCAATTTCTTTTCTTGAAGACTCCAAAGCAGCACATATTGGGATTTCTGTTACTGTCTTTCCCACTGACAATGTGTGATCACATATATGTCATGCTACTTCTTCATGTCCTAATTTACCTCACAAGATAATGTTTAGTGTTTCCAAAATGCTATGAGATTTTTCTGACAGCCTTGAAGAAAAATATTTGTTAAATTATTACTAAAACATACCAGATGGGAAAGATGAGAAGAGAGAAAATAGAGCAGAGTATTTCAAAACTGGGGGTGTACTGTGTTCATATTTAAAACTCATTAATTTTCAAGTGCTGAATACTACCAGCCATTTTTTTTTAATATTGGGGAAAATAAAAAAATCTGACATGTACTTAAATATTTAATGTTAAGAACTTTGGGGGCGCGTTCAGCTTATTTTACCTGCAGCTATGCTTGAAGTTCATCCAGTTCTATTCTGATTTGGACTGATTCGTTAAGTGGTTTGGGAGCCCCAGAGGTCACACTGGTTCTGTGTTGAGAAAGATAACACTTAAAAATGGGAAGATTCAAGTGAGGGGATGTAGAAGGCCCAGAAGTCAAGATTTCAGCTACCCATGGCTTTAGCCGTCATTCGCCTGCTTCTTTGACGGAGCCTGCACAATTCTCAAGGTTAAGCGAGAGTTTCTTGCCAGTTTGCCAAGTCTGACGTATAGCGGAAGAGCTTGAGAGAGGCTGCAACACTGTGCTTGGACATCAAGCAGTGCTACTGGTTTGGAGGAGCAAGCTTGGGGCTTGCACACAGGAGTAGAAATACACAGATGCACACGCCTGTGTATTGAGAACATTAGGGAAGGCTGGGGGAGAAGTGGGAGTTTGGGCTGGTAGGATCCAGCAGGCACACATACAACACTGTTGACAATAACAGTATGCAATTTTC